CCCCAGAGCGCTCACAACCGACAGGCAGCCCCGTGGGGCCGCTACGCTTCCAGCACTGTCTGCGGAAAGTAATTTTACTTGAAATACTAAAACTTCGTCCTTCCTGGAGACACTTCAGTTACGATCGGTCACCGTGATACATTTCTAGGGTTACTTTCAAATAACGAAAACCCAGAAACTGCACAAATCGGAATTAACACCGTATTTTCTGATTTACCGACAGACAGAAGGTGAAGAGCCATTTTAACTACAGCAATCAAATTAGGTGGTAAAACAAAACAGTAGCAGCAATAAACAAACCACCCTGATTTTGCTCAGAATTGAATAAATTAATTGGCCTCATTATTCCTGAATTATCAAATTTGTGAGGTTTTCTTGATAAATTATTTTTAATCCTGCAGGTGTGACTGTAATTCTGCTTATTTAAAAGCAATGAAGGAAAATCTGAAAATGAACCACACCATCAGGCAACATTAACCATCACAGTCAGTAAAGCCAGAAATACAAATTAGCACAATTATTTCTGCCATTAAAAGAAAATACTACTTATAACTGATAGGCAAAACTTCATGACAGTTTTTACTTGTTTCCAGAGTAATCTAATAACTACAGGCAACCACATGGTGCATATGGGTTTTAATCTCCCCAGCACCTTCACCTTTATGTCAATTCCAAAGCCGGTCCGTGTGCTTTAATGTAAACTGGTGTTAAGGTGCAGTGCCGCATCTAACACAGGCTGAACTGAGGCAGGAGCTCAGGCAAAGCTGGCCAACACGACTGCAAGTGCCACCCTGCAGCGCGGGGAACGCTCCGCACATCTCACCCCTGCAACATGGGCACTTGCTGGGCACGCTGGGACAGACAGAAGGGATCAGAAAAATCAAAGGGAAAGGATACAGAGCCAAGCCAAATCCCTTTCTGCACATGAAGTAACTTCTGCAGCCAGCTATTGCTCAGCCTGAGCAACATGCATGGAGTTGTTGCTTGCTGTGTAACACCACAGCCTTCTCTTTTAATGTCTTTCAAACTCACATGCTGCCTTTCCAACACCCCAGGATACAACAGAATGACAACTACTGTGGTGCCTTGTTTTCTTCTCAGTGTTCAGTATTAATTTTTTTGTGCTTCCACATCTCAGCCGGAGAACAAAACACCAGAGTTGTTTTTATTGGCTTTTTTATAATTTACTGGGAATTGAGATATTGGCATAAATATAATTGCATTAAAATAGCCTATGCATATTAACTGAGACCTGGGGACAGGTGGATCTACTTGTACTTGTTTAGCATTTCCCAAAGAATTCATTTTACTTTGACACCATTCATCTCCAGGCTGTGAAGACTTTTTAAGGACTCTACATTCCTGTCTGTTTCTAGTAGTAAAACATTATGGACAACATTGGAATGGTAAAAAACACCCCAAAGGATCTGAGGAAAATTTCTTTCAAGCATCAATTGGTGGTTAATACATACCACAATGCTCATTTCAGCGTAAATAACTAATCCTTAAAAAAAATACTTCTCAGTTAAACATTAGTCAAGAACACAGTTAAGCACTTCTTGTTTAAGATCTGCAACCTTTAAGCTTCAGTGTTCTTGTGGTAAGGAAACAATCAACCACTGGTCCTCTGATAGTGACTTCTACATCCTATTCACCCAATCCATCTGAGATAATGCAGTGCCACTTTAATTTCTTCTATTATCCATCTTTTCTGCTACCTTGGAGCAGTAACCAAATTACACTAATTTCTAACAGCAACAATGACCAGGTAATTAAAAACCAACCAAACACTGCAGCAGTTGTAACAATCACAAAAGGTCATAAACTGTGACTGAAGGGGCACTGAGCCAATGACATCTCTGGCTCTGCAATGGCAGCAGAGGCCTTCCAGACTCACTCTATTCGTTCACCTTGAGCTATTCCCGGTCAGCTAACAGACACAATCTGCACAACAACACACCCTACATAATGGATGCCAGTGTTATTTCCAAAAATATCATTAAACAATAATTAAATGGTGAAAATTAATAAAAGTAAAATGATTGTTAAAATTTGACATATAAGTATTACTTATTTATTAAGATGTATTTTGTCTTTTCTATATATTATATATATATTATTATATATATAAAATAATGCATACACACATAAATATAAAAGTATATGTGTAGGCACAGAACTCCACGGCATTCTCTATACCGTTATGGTCAGTGTTTAAATAAACTCTTCACAACCAAACCATTTTTCAATACCTTCCATTACAATTTTGGCCAGCAGCACCTCTGACAAGTAATGAAAAAATATATTCTAACACACAATATGTGCCAAGATGAATTACATATATACTTTAAACTGAATTTACTAATTAATGAATGTAAAGTCTGAAGCCTGAGAAGACCACAATGTCTGAAGCTGAATTTTGTACTCAGATTCAATAATATGCATTCATATAATTATCTCTTTACATAAATATTAATTAAAATAAATATCAATTTTAAAATCTAAATTAATTTGAAGTGAGATACCTAAAGTTTCCTAGCTTTATTCCCATGGCCAGAATTGCCCTAAACCTCAATTTGCACATCACCTGCAATCTTAAAAGAAACCAAACAAAACACCACAACCAAAGCATTCTGTAAGGAAGTTTTATAACAAATAAGTTGTTCCAGCTTGGTATTTTTCTTCAATTCTTAATTGTGGAATTTCTTCTTCTTCCGATTCCTCTTCCCTGCTGCAAAAGCTGCTTTTTCACTCATGATCTCCTGATACTTCTTTTTATTATATCTGAACAAAATAGATAATTTACTTTTAAGCATGGCACACCAAAATTCAAGGAAAAGATAACATGGACAGTACTCTATGCACGCTATTTGCCAAACTGAATTTTCTCATGTTTTCTGAATCAGTTTCTTTTACTTATGCATAAGTGTATAAATCAAGGGAAATCAGCAGTTGGATCAATGATAAATGCAGGTAAATTTGCATTGGAAGTAAATTCTATTGAATTTTGTAATTAATTTTGGTTGGGGGTGGTCTTCATTGCACATGCAGTCACATTTTGAACAGTTTGCTGAAACACTGCTACTGCTCATAAGGGGAAGACTCAACCATTTCCACAATACCATGAAGAAATTGCACCCACTTTTATAGTGCCTTCACACCCCACTCAAGATAATAAACCTTACTCTACTCCAGACAGAAAACTGAGATGAGGTGAATACTCAACAACGAGCAGGGTAATTGCTGATGTGAGTTGCTAACTCCTCTAACAGACTTTTATGTACCTGCACTGATGAGTACCACAGACACTGCACACTGAGTAGTGCTGAGGCTTAAAATGCAACACCAAAATTTGACAAATATCTGCACTAATACTGAAGGGATATGATTAAAGCCCTTAATTAGCCAAAACATTAATTAATGAAATTTCAAATACATTAATTATTAAAACTACTTTATAATAAATACCTAAGAAATCAGGTCAAACTATAAAACCACTTAAGAAATAAGATACAGTAACTTCCCAACATTATAGTTAAATTTACTAGACAAGATTAACTATAATCCCAAATGATGTACCACTTCAAAGAAAACAAGTCATTATGTGAAAAATCAATATTAACATCATGTAATAACCAATACCAAAATGGATCAACTAAATGATCTACTCCAAAAAACTGTAGGCTATGCAGACTTTAATCAAATCATAATCTTCAAGTAAGTCTTCTAGCAAAATTTTGATTCCCATGACAGGTGATAGACTGACATATTTATAAAATGAAATATCAATATTCACAGAATTACAGGCTGCTCTTTTCTGTGAATTAAGCCAAGAAAAAATAAACAGTCTTTAAGAGTGGTTGCTAATATTGATGACTGAAGTTGGATAAAACCCTTTAATGAAGATGAAATATACATTGTCTCAGTCTAATTATCCCCCTTCTAAATGGCAGTATTATGGAAATGCTAAAAGACTAAAAATTTTTCTTTGAAGTATAACAAAACCACCCTACAATATGAATAAAACAAAAAAAAGGCTAGAGTTAAAAATACTCTTCTTTTACATGGGATATTAGAATTACAGAACTATTTTTAAATACCTTCTGAACTCTGAATCTGCAAGCAGCTCCTCCACAATTGTTCTCTTCCTCTGTTTCTTAGGGATTCGACTGTGGTAAAAGTCTATGGGAGAATCAACTACAGTTCCAACCTAGGAAACAAAAATTAAAACATACTTACTGTACATGAAGCAAGATGTTCATTTTTTTTTTTTTTTAAATCCCCAGCAACAAGTGTGAAGACACCTACAGAGCAGATGAGCAGATGAGAATGACAGTTCCTTAATAAAAGTGCAAAAAACCAAAATAAGTCATGTTTTGTATGCAGAGTTCCTTTTGGTCTCCTTGTGTAGTGCAGAGAGGAAGGCCGGAGCTTTAAGACTGTACAGTTTTCAATGCTGGACTGCTGTACCAACAATTAATTAAAGTTCTTAACTTTTAAACTTTTTAAACATAAGGGATAAGAAAGCTTTATAACCACCTTAAACCTTTTCCTGTCTCTCATCCCGGTGGTTTTGCTAGATGACTACAAGGGCTTATCCTGAAACACATCACATTTTTTCCAACCAGCATGTCAGTCAGCTCTCATAGCTCAGGTTAGCAGTGAAGATACACACAGTACATGTTTCAGGCAGTGAAAATAAACCTGCATGGATCTAATTCTGTGGAACGCTTCAATTTAAGTTTCTCTAATTTCACAACCTACAACACCCTTGACACTTCAGAGTGAAGTAATGTTTTGCGAAATGAAAACATTTCCTCAAGCATGTTAACTATTCAAAGTTTCTGGAGGCCTGTTTCTACAGCTTCCACAGTAATTTCTTTGTTGGTACAAACAGTTTCAAAGCTGAGAGCTACAAGCAGCAAAAATTTCAGCCTATCACAAAGGTAGCTGTCTCCATTTAAACTGTATTAGCTAGTAAGAAAATAAAAGCCAATTACTTTCTACACACTTGTTTAGAAAGGCCAGTACTCCAAAAAAGCAGTGAAAATCTAGTCTTCTGACGGTTCAAAATCTGGATTCCGTAAGGTATTTGTTCACTTCTATGAGATAAGCCAAAGCTAAGAACATCAACAGCATATATACATATGGAACACAAAGTTAAATAGTTGCAAACTCTAGTTAAGTAATCAAAACATTTTATTAATTAAGATACGAAATTAAATCAACATAGAAGCTAACTATTAGGTGTCCTTGAATAGCTGCTCATAACTTCAGCAGTACAATGCCACTTTCTGCTGCTTCCTTACCTGGAAGTACTTGGGGAGACCATCTCTATCATTCTTCTTATAGAAATGCTTAGGGTCCAATGAAGCTCTCATCTTCAAAACTTTAAGATCATTTTTCAGTTCACTTGTGATTTCTGGGGCTTTCATACCAAACCAACCATCACCTGTTGTTTTCTCTCGCTCTGCCTAGGATGCAATACCAAGAACAATCAGTTTGCATTCAGTAATTAGGATGGAACAGAAAAGGGAACTCCTTCCTACAAAAGATAAAGCATTTAGAATGTAAATATGTACCCCTAAAACATGTATTTTATGACTATTATAAAGGAGGTTATCAGCACTGCATCAATGACAGATTTGTACTGAGCATGTAAGCATTCACTTCACTATGCTTGTGACTGAAAGAATGACTTTCCACAGGACAGCTCAAAGAAGACACTAAACTGCAGTGCATCACTCCATTTCCAGTGAGGCCTGGATATGCACAGAGTCCCAGCATGCAGCTTTCTACCACAGCTTGTTTCATTATTTGAGGCACTACCACTCTTCACTTACCCTGCGCTGTTTCTTTAGCTGGTGAAGTGATTCCCTGTAGGGTGGGACACATTCCTTTCTTTCAAAGTCTGGAGTTATTACACTCTTCTGCAAGAGCTGTAAGAATTTTTTTGAACATTAGAGAGTCACCTCACTGACACAAATTTACAGCTTAACTGTATTTACAGAATCTTCTGAAGGAATTACACAGAATCTAAGCAAGCGTTGTAATGCAATACACGAGCAGTAACAGTCTTCAAAATAGAACACTGGACAAGAACAGAAAGCAGCTGACTTGCCCTGGAGGTAATGAGACAGGAAATCATCTGGAGTAAAGAGGACTATCATGGATTAGCCAAAGAAAAGTCTCAACAAAAATAACACATTCCCTTTACTTCCAAGGGTGCTTTTGAAAAAAGCCTGCTAAATCCATACTAGGGTATAGACTTCTATTTACTGAAATTCATTCTGGCTATGGACGAAATATCTTGTCAGCAGACCTTAAGCTTTTGTATCATTAAACAAAACTCCACGTATAATCAACTTTAGTTTATTATAAAAGTTAATGGTAGAATTTGCACTGTCTTTCCATTTCTGAAGTCAGGTATATTTAAACTTTCACCATTACAACCAAATGTAAAACCACACTTTGGTCAAAACAATGTAAGTTCTCAATGAACCATAAAAAGGATACTTCTTTAAAATCAGACAAACCAACCTTCTTAGGTTAACATCTTGTTACTATAGTCATAGGTAAGTGAATAATTGTAAACATGTTACCTGGTCCTTCTTCTTCACCTTTAGTGGTTCAATTACACTCGATCCAGGCTTCTGATTTTTTGCATCAAAACTGATATATAAACCTCCAAGCTTCTTGATATTCAACCCAGGGTCTATGCTACTGGAAAGACGTAAACTAAAGAAGAAATAATTAATTATTTGTAACATGCATAGAGCTAAGCCTTCTACAGTCCTCTGAGAAAGATGAACAGAAAAAATACTTTTCTTATTCTTCCCAATAAGATTCAGTTTTGCAATGATTTTAAATCTTGCTATCTAGATTATGTAATTTTGAAATGACAGATGCGAGGGGATTCATGTCATAATATGAAATAAGACTTACTATTCAAAAATACCTGTGGAATTTTTCATATTAACTCTAATGCTGGACTCTCATCTTAGATCTTATCTTCTGTTTAACTGAATTCTTAATTTGCTTAACCTTGCCAGAACTCATGACTAGCATCCTTCTATACAGTGACAAGCTTGATAGCTAAAGAGAAGAACACCAAACATATTGGTAGTAAAAATACCGTAACTCTTAATAAGAAGTATGAATAAACCAGAACTCATTGTAGGAATGTTTAAGTCCTTGTCTGTATAACCATACTAAGAACAAAGTCATTAAACTTGGATAAGAAAGTGGTTGGATGGTTGCATCCAGAGGCTCATGGTCAATGGCTCAGAGCCCTGATGGTTCTATGAAATTTCAAGCTTAGTATGTTCACATTTGTTTCACTGCTTCATTCACACAGCCAAAGGAATGTATCCACAAACAATGTACAATGGCTGTTTTCGATGACAAGAATGTTTAAAAGTTCTAAACTACAATGCAGAGAAGATGGTAATATCTAAAGAGGTGCAACAGGTATTTACTGTATTAATACAAGCCCTTTAACAACTTTCTATCAAACTGTGACTGATCTTGTACAATGCCTTCACATTAGCTTGGCTAAGCTTTTTTAGCTAAGACTTCTTGTCTACCTGAAGGTTTTTACTAGATTAAGGCTTGTTTATCCAACCTAAATGAGCATTACGCTTTAAACATAAGAAGGGATTCTAGCAGCAGCTGGACTACAAGAATTCAAGAAGTATCATTCCACCTAAATTATTCTGATTCCATGCTAGTTTTCACCTGAAGAGTCAACATGCACAGCACAGCAACAACTAACATATAAAATTATATGCAACTGTTTAAAAAGCAATATCTAATCAGGCAACTTGTAAGGAATTTACTGGACCTTTTGTTATCTACATTCCAACTGGAAAAAAAAATTAACAAAACTGTGACCTGAATAACCAATTCAGTCAGCCTGATTTGTTTCACATTGTTTTTTAAGATGAACACATACAAGGCCTCCAGATGCCAAAAAAATTTCAGAGTTCTGTTCCTACTATATTCAGAATGGAAAAAAATACCAAAACCTAAATTTATGGACCATATTCATATTATATAGTATGTGCAACACCATTTTCTGCAGCAACACGACATACGTGGTACGACTAGTCCCTGATTTATTCTGCACTTAATGTGCATATTCTTAAATGAAATGCAGATTCTTTAGCTATTCCTAGCAAGATACTTACACATCAACCTTGTTTTTCAACAGATCATCATCATCATCTTTTTCATCTTCATCTATCAATTCCTCTTCATCCTCTTCCAAGTCTGATTCTTTATCTTTTTGATCTCCCTCATGCTTACTTTTAGCATCTCTGTCTTGGTCTACATCATCCAGATAATACTTTTGGCTGGAACTCATGCCAGGCTCAGTATCAATTACAAAAAGACCTTCAACATGCAGTGAATCGCTTTTTAAAGATTTTTTGAGGGAAGGAGTTGTCTTATCTGACTTTTTATAACACAGATTGTCATCAACTGCATCTATGTCTGCCACATCACTATTTTCAGAGTCATCATTTTCACTGTTGCTCAGAAACAATGCAAGAGAGCTGTTATCACTGCTTGGTTTTTCACTGCTGTGGGATACATCATACTCATTTGTTTGGTTGTCAGCACTGTCTGCATCAATTTTGTGCATCCTGCTTTTACCAATGCTTTCAGTTGTCTGTGCAACAGCCGTGTCCTTTGATGGGCTGCTCACTGCACTAGCTTGCTTACTCTTCCTTAATTTATCATCACACGAGAAAGACTGCTGTGCATCTGCCTCAGCATCTGCTCTTTCACATTCTGTATTTTTTTTACTTTCATTTGGCGTTCCTTGTCCTTGGGGTTCTAGAAATTGTTTGGGACTCATGCAGTCAGTCAAAGAAACAGACACATCTAATTTCCCCTTCCTTGCACCTATTTTACTGCCATCTTCTTGTATTTGGCCACATATTGCTTCTGAATGGTCTACCTCAATGGACTGTGTATTTTTTTCTGTTTCTTTCACAGGTGATTTAGTGTCACTACATTTTGTTTTTGTAAGACTGGATGCCACATCATTTAAAATCTCCTCTTCTGTGTCCTCACTCGAGGCTGCATTAGCACATTTGCTTTTAGGTGAAGTGAGTTCTTTATTACCATCAATGAGGGTGGAAGCATTTTCTGTGTCACTGCCAAGTTCTGCAGTAGGTGTAGAATCAGAAATTATGATGGGATCAGATTTAATAGTGTCTTCAATTAAATTCTCATCTTCTGAAACAAATCTATTTTTTTCCTCAGTCTGCTTAGTATTTTCTGCTTGTGATTTCATTTGCATGCTCCTAGTAATTCGTTTTGGAGTGACATATGGTTCGACAGCAGAATTTAGGCAACATGATTCTGCATCAGAAGTATCTTCACTCTGGGCTTCATGAACTCTGTGTGGCTGCAACTTCTTTTTACTTTGTCTGCTCCTTGTACTTGTGGGAACATTAAGCATCTGGACACCAGAAACAGCAGAGGAACAAGACTCAGCTTCAGAAACATCATCTTCATCCAGAATCCTACTTAACTTATTTACAAAAGCTGCACTGCCATGTCTTTTTTTGTCAGCAGAATCTGGTTGATAAGGAATTACAATTTGTCGCCTCCGTGTTATTCTTACAAGCAAAGGTGTCTGGAAACCAGACACAGAAGAGCAGTTTGATTCTGCTTCTGACACATCACCATCAATGTGTGGTTCAGCAACTGACTGTGCTGATGGAAGAGTTGTGTTCTCACTCCTAGTGATCTGCATCTCTGAGATATCAGTGGCATCTGATTTGATTTCTGCATGTTCCACCTCTTCAAACTGACATTCCTGAATCACCTCTGGCTTACGAACTGACTTAGTTCTTCTAGTCATCTTCCTAGTCACAGGAGTACTAATTTCAGCAGATCCCACCTAGAAAAGGAGTAAAAAAATGTATTGTATTGACAGATAACTATACAAAAACAATGCTATAAAAATCACTAGAAATATTTTTAAACAATCTACTTAAACTGACAACACATGTCTCTGTGTAGCCCTATCTATGCAGAAGAAACCTTATGAAACCATCCCTTGCTTATCTCTCTACTGTATCTTGGTCAGGGCAGAAGAAAAAACACATGCATCCTTTAAGAAACATAATCAAGTATCTCCTAATTCTAAAGAGTTCTATCAAGTTGCCAGGGGAAGCAAATCCAGAAAAAACGTTCAGAAATATTGAAAGCCTTCCCCAACTATAAACCACTAAATACTATCAAAATGTGTCCCAAAATGGTGTCCAAAACCAATTTTTGGTCTACGAACAAACTGGCCTCTCAGCAATCGCAAAGCTTTGCGATTGCTGAGAGGCCAGTTTGTTCGTAGACCAAAAAGGTATGATGTGCCAAGTATCATTTTAAGTGACAGAGAAATGCTAAAACATTTGTCATGCCGAGTAAAGCACGCCACCTTTACCTCCCAGCGCCAAGCGGCCCGAAGAGCTCCGGCGGCCGCTCCCGTCCGCAGGCCCGGCCCCGCCGCGCCCGCCGCGCCCCGCGCCGCCCGCTCACCTCCGCATCGCCATCGGCATCGGCATCGCCATCGCCATCGGCACCGGCACCGCAGGCCCGCGGCCCCTGCTCCCGGCGCCGCGCCGCCGCCCGCCTGGTGCTCACCATGCTGCTGCCGCTCCGCCCGCCCCTTCCTGCCCGGCCTCCTCCCTTCCTTCCTGCCCGCCCCTCCCGGCGGGGAGAACGTCCCGGGCGCGCCAGCCCGGCCCCGGGACGCGGGCGAGACGGGGTGGAGTCCTGGGGTGCAGGCGCTTGCAAAAGTGTAAAATGCTGCACTAAAATGCCTACGGGAGTTTCAAATTTTAGCTAAACTTTCAGGTTTCTCATGGAAGGAAATCCCCTTTCACCCGTCTTGCTACAAACCAAACGAATGAGATAATGTGGTAATTTGATAGAGTGTTATGCTATTAATGACGTCTTAAAGGGTACTTTTCTACAGTAAGCAAACTATTAGCAGTTTACAGAAAGGACATAAATCATCCCATTAGAGCAGCCTTTACATTGGTTTAGCACAGTTCCTGTTTTGTAGCATTTCAATATAAAAAACTGAGCACACAAGTCTGATAAGACACAGAATCAGCCACATACAGACCGCGCTTACAGGTGGTGGTTAAATCATAAGCACACAATACAGAAGTAGTAGGGAAGTTTAAAATTAAACTAATGTAATTTTTAACTCTGATGCACATTGGCCCAACATTAAAAAGAAACCACTACATTTTTATTAAGAGAAAAAATCCAAACTTTTATTGATCCATTACTAGTTTCAATTCCCTGTTTTTCTTGTTTGTCAAAAGAATCGAAGACGCCAAGAAAGTTTCCTGCTATTTGCCACTACAAATACAGTATTTGAGGACTAAGGTACCTTGAAAAACCTTAATCATTAAACATAGTGGAATGGATTATAGGAAGCTGACACTCCAGATACTGCCTACTGGCATTCAAATCCCACTTGCTGCCAATATGAAGAATGTGAAAGATATGTTGGTGAAAATTCATTCCCTTACAGTCCAAATCTCAAAATATGTACAACAAAGTTAATTACTACTACCAGCATGAGGCTATGCTGCTGTCTGAAACTGAAATTTACTATTTTAGACACTTGGTATCAAAGTTCCTGCTAAACTACAACTTGAACTTTAGGTATCTACTCTTATTTAAAGGCCAAGGAAAGGAAAAGGCCTTTTTGACAGGAAGGACTGCATTAAACCAAAAGCTTTGCCTTAGCTGCAGCAATCTTTCTGGACTAAAAAGCCAATGTGCTAAGCTGCTGCCAATCAGAAAGACACCTAACTTGAGGCTAAGCCCTGCTTCATCTTTCCTGAGTGGCACTCAAGCAACAGGTTTCCCAGGCAACTGCAAAAGTAATTTTAGTGAACAGCCAACAGCATTTACTGTCTTCTACTTGGCTAATTGCTTGTGTAGTTCACAAGTATCAAAAAAAAAAAAAAAAATCAAGCCACAGTTGAGAAGGAGACAGGCACAATTCAGTTGTTGATTAACAGATTTCTTAATCACTTGTTTTAAAATCTTGTTTTAAACATTCACTATTAATACATTTTCTATTTCAAACAGTAAAAATGCCATCACACTTGTGTAAACACTAAATGAAGCATATCGAGGCACAAAGAAGCAAGAAAGAATTCAAGTAACAATCAGAAAGTAATTTGGAAGATGAATTTTCTTCTAAATTATAGGAGTCTTTTCCACTCTATTAAAAATAAACCAATTTTCCCACACCCACAAATTAAACAGCTGACTTGCCTATATATACATATCAAGTAATGAGATACCAGCTTAATTTTTTTTGGGTATCATATCATTAAAAAAATGACAATTTTCTATAAAAGCTAGTCCTTGAATGCTTGAAATGCGTATTCACCAGGTAAGTATGATTTAAGAGAAATTTGTTTTTTAAAAAAACAAAAATATATGTTTCTCCATGCTACCTAATGGCAGCTAAAATATAATGATAATTTTTACAGTGAACTGGTCATAAAAATAATATTATTTTAAACTGTTACTCTGTAGATAACTTCAATAAAAAAAGTCCCAAAATATTCCATATTTTGAATGACCCCATCAATAGTTAAGAAAGAAAAACAGTACTAGAACACTACAGACAGTCCTACTGACATCAAACTGAAATAATTACAACTTCTGGTAGTTCGTTATAAATGCTGTAAAAATCTATGAAAAATGCAATGTTCCCCCATCCCAAAGAAATTTAAACAGCCTTCAAAAAAAAAAAGAAAAAAAAGACAGTGTTTTAAGATGCATTTCTTTTAGCTTGTATGATATAGCCTTTGGACTTGATAATTCCTCTGCTTTTAACAATGACTGAATATCGCAGAAGCCATAAAGGAATCCACTTGTCTGCTTTCATGTTCTGGATGCTTTCCTGGAGAACTTCTTGGAAACTTGCTTCACAAAGTAATTCTGAAGTTAAGAAGGGATATTTGTGCTTAAAATAAATATAATGTAAACAGCTGCAAAAAAGCAACACTTAGTAATAGAAGCCTTTTCCTATAGTCAAGACATTAAGTGGCACCATATACCCCTCAGATCCACTCTTCCAGAATGCATTTAGGTTAAAAGCACCTACCTGCATATTACAAAATAAATCTCCAGGACACTTTTTTGCAACATTGAGTGTTTCCCACAAAACTAACTGAGACTCTGGAAATCAGCAGAGTCATTAGGAGGAGAAAAAGAAAATTTAAATTGAGAAGCTAGCTAGACAAACCAGAGGTGAGTAAAGCAACTATAGGGCTGAAATCAGCAAAGTAATGAGCATTTAGAATTGCCTCTGCAGTCACTGCAAAGTCAACATTTATAGTATCTCTCATAATTGGGCTCATAATAACCATAAGCCCAGAAAGCTTTAGGAAAAAGGGGCTTAAATTCCACCAAGCAACAAAATAAGGCAAGCACAAATCCTCCTAGTTTCCTCTGGAATGTTCATCAAGAGAACACTGTCTTTGGTGAGGAGTGCTCACCAAAAACAGTCTCGATACTCTTCAGCTGACTATTGCAGAAAAGTTAAGCTGAACAAACAACACAAAGGAATCATAACTTGTGCTGTTTTCTATCAAATCATCTTCTCCTTCATTTCATGACTCTCAGTGGATACTATTTATTAAAATGCAAGTTGCATCTGCACTTCAGAGGACATGGGAAATGTCAGATTGAATGGAAATTCATCTTGTATGCTGCCAGAGAAGAGGTAAATCCTGCTACTGATGAAATTCATTACTTTTAACAGTGGTACTATGAAGTATATACTTCAAAATAAATGTTTCACATACTTTTTTTCTTTGGGATCAAGTGGAAAGAAAGGAAAAGGAAGGAAAAGTATCATCATGAATAATTAGTTGTAATCAAGAACACAGGGAAGGAATTAACTAAATATTGTTTAAGACTTTTTATTATTCCAACAAGGTATTAAGGTGTCCAACACTTTAAGGTGTTAAGTGAAGAAAGACTGATGTTTGAGAGAAACTAATGTTATATCCCAGAATATTGTAGAAAGCTGGTAACTCAGTTCTACAGCTCAAAGGAAAGCCTCCAATTTCTAATTCATTTAGCAAATGAATCATTGCATTAAAAAAGTGAAGAATTTTTAAGTCCTTTGAAGTCAAGACTTTGAAAGAATCCTACTTAAAGCATAGTAACTTTACACATCTAATATTACCAAACAACTCAAAAATCAACTGGCCATTAACATTTCTATGTAATTTTGTTCACAAGTTCCAGGCAAATACATTTTCATTTATCATTTACTGGCCTTCAGCAATACATTTAATTCCATATTTTGTAGAAATAAACATATTACAAATTTCTCAGGAGGTTTTTGTTCTATTTACTTTATTTTCTCTGATTAGAAGTATTTCAAGAAATTATCCAAGGCTGCAAGACTGTTTCAAGAAGTGGTGGGGGGAGGGGAGGAAGCAACAGCAGTAACTTAACAGAAGGATTTTATAAAGGAGAGACTTCTAGAATCCTTGGCAGGCCTCAAATACAACACACTTTGAAGTTCAGGAAAATACTATTCCTGATTTTCTATTGAATAAATGCATTTACAAGTTTTTTGTTAACTTAATCAGCAAAGTCTTACCTTTGGGGTCATTGTGAGTTAGCAGCTGTATGTCACATTCTTTTGCAAATGCTGTGAGATCAGGTGGCATCACACAACAGGAAGCTAGGTTCACCTGATTACTACTTGGTTTCACCTGAGAGTAACAAAATATTTTTATAAGGAAAAAATACTTATGTACTTATATTAGCTGTTTCCCTCATGCCTTCTATTACAACAGAAATTTTGCTTTGAACAATTTGTCTTTGACCATTGTTTTGAAGTCTGAGCTAGGCTAATTAATTCTGCATGATTAATTAATGTAGGCAGCTGCACACCTGCAATTCCCTGCAGCACATAGCCCAAAGCTCACTTCAGGTGCTGCCATAGCAAGGTAGTGCTAACCCACTGCACTCTAGCTTTCTGTCTGCTGTGCTCCCAAAACAGTAGCAGCTTTATTTCCCCCTTTCTAGTAAAAGCATTATAGGGATGTCAGTTTGAAAAAGACTTCAAACTAAAAAATCCAAAACCATTTTTGTTAGGGATATATTAATTTGCAATCTTCCATGCCTTCAGGCAACTGCTTGATTTGGATCAAGTTAAAAGGGATGCTCTTCCATTGATTTTCTCCTCACAAACTGCATTCATGATCACCATGCAGGTGGTGATTAAATCATGCAATTGCCCTCTCTCAGCATACATAAACATTGAGGGTTACATAGATAATCAAATGACTGGAGCACCTCTCCTATGGGAACAGGCTGAGAGAGTTGGGATTGTGCAGCCTGGAGAAAGGAAGGCTCCAGAGAGACCTAAGAGTCCATTTCAGTACCTGAAAGGGGCTACAGAAGAGCTGGAGAGGGATTTTTTGCAAATGCATATGGTGATAAGAAAACCAGGCAGTTTAGCTTAGGCATCAGGAAGAAATTCTTCCATGTGAAGGTGCTGAGGCACAGAAAAGCACTGGATGGCTGCCCCACCCCTGGAAGCGTTCAAGGCCAGGCTGGATGGAGCTCTCAGCAAGGTGGTCTAG